AGCGCCAATTAATTAATAAAAATACAAATTATTCTAGACACTGGTCATGCATGCATTATGGTTCACTCATGCTTTAAGTAGCATGTCTTGGTGACCGCTGGATTTGGAGGAAGTCGTACGAATTGCAAGGTACACGCTTCCTCGCCACTTCTCCCTATGTTACGCCTTCTTGATTCACTGCCTTCAGTTGCCTACTTCACCCCCCTTCTCGGAGGGTAGTGCAGAGTGTTTTGTTGTGATTAACATTCTACCTGATAATTAGCGAAAATATTGTATAAATGATTTTTGTTTGCAATGTTCGAGCATTAGGCCATGCATAAAATCAGACCTTGACGCAACAGCACTCTTATTTGGCCTGCAACTTCCGCACAATTGTTTTTAGGCCGTCGTGCCCCCACGTCAAGGTTAAAGGTTATTTATGTTAGCACAATCACACAGCAACAACTGTAATAATGCCGAGACAGTTGTTTAATGCGTGATCATGGCGTTGTCTAATGGTGTCCAAAAGTCCAAACACATTTGCGTTGAACCATCCAGTTTTTCGCACCACTTTCCATATCCTATTTTAGTTATACAAACTCTTAGCATATATTTTTATGCTTGCCAAGCGATTATCCCACCTTCAAACCAAACAATTGCCCGTAAGTTTTTGTGACACCACAACATTTTACTTACACTAACTTTTATGGACGACCGTCCTAGTTTGATTACATTAATTTTGACTTTCTCAATATTTTCCTTTATTTAGTGGAGATACAGTGACGCAGGCAAAAAGTTTGTATTAAATGCTTCAATCAGTCATCTTGTTTTGCCGACTATGCGGAAGCGCAATAACTGTATTTCAAGATGTACATTTTAATTGCTTTTATAAAGTTTTCCTAGCAAGGCTCTGCGTCTTCCCTTAAGGCCTAGAGGCTATTTTCGCTCGACTAATGCGTACTAAAGTGGTCTCCTTGTTAAAATCGAGAGTTAAATACCTAAACTATCATTTACCTCCCTGGTTAAGTCGAAAGACACTTCACCACAATACTGCCAGTCTCCTCCAGTGATTTGGAGTCCTGACTTACTAGCATGTGACACATGATAAAAGGCGACCTTTAACTCACTCTTGGGAGCAGCGTTTCGTGTAAATTTCCTCTTGCCACTTATTTTGCACCTCAGAGTTAACTTACCGTGTGTTCCTATTGTTAGTAGTTAGCTAGCTTCGCGAGTTCACATATTTGATATTTTTATACGTTGAAGCCAGATGGGTCTGTGAATAGCGAATTCAGCGTAACCTCCGTTGTTATTAGTCTTCTTCTAAACTATAAAACGAAAGTTATTGCCGAAAAATGAATGTCATTTGTAGCTCTTCCGTAGGGGGCAGTGGACATTTCTACCACCTGCAGCATTTACGCTTCTCTCGCATCTCACAAATTTATCGCCCTGCCACCAACGTGGTCCCTGTAGACCTTTAGTGGTTCCTGCAGCTACTGCCATGGTTTGGACGTCATCACATTTTGGGAAGGCAAGAGGGTGGAGCGCCTTACTGTCATGCCTAGCATCCAAATCTTTCTACTTAAAACGAAATTCTCATAATCTTTTCTTTGGGTGCGTGAGAAAAAATGACGAAATAACATGGAGAAAGTTACCGCATTTTTTAGTCGCAAAGGATTAATTTTAACGTGGGTTTAGCCACCACGTTCGGCTAAAGCAGTTCTACATTTCGTAATCAGTTAATTTAAACGGTGTTTGCCTTCTAGCTTCTCACATAAGTGATATGCTCGTTCGAAATGATAAAGTGGTTATAATAAATGCATCCTAGACAGAACAGGTTAACCACTCATGTCACACTGTAACAAAATACAAACTAATTCGATGAAACGAAAAGTGTTTGTGAACAACACTGGTTAGGGTGATTCAATGTAGTGTTAAGTTATTTCATTACAGACATTCCAATGAGAGACCATTAAGTAAACCCCATTTTCTGAAGCAGTTGTCTTACTGCCTCCCTTCTATGGGCAAGGCCTGAAAATCATCAAATCCGTCCGTGGACTGATGTTAGGCAACATGGCCGAATGGAAATATCTCTGCAAGCGCGATAGCTTATGCGAACTAGCATAACTGTTGTGAGGTTCAGGTTAGCTTCAAACGATAATGTGTAGTTTTAAGCCACTTAGAGTACGCAACAGTTGCAAAATAGGCATTATTAGGGCCGGGACAAGTGGAAGATGATCATGTTTATGCGGAAAAGTGTCAGGCAGGTTGTACTCGAAGTCAAAATAGACTCAACGATTCGCACAATGGGTTATGTTCTCACATCGGCTTTAAGGAGAATACCTTAATCGCACTGACAGCTATCGAGTTCATTTACTGCTGAACGTTGACATCTGTGGCTATAAGTGAGAACACAGAGGAGAAGGAGTTGTCGCATTTTTACCTTGTTTAGCTAGCAAACGACCGTAAAAGTAAAAATAGCTAACTCCAAATCACTTATTGAACCGACAGAGAAACAATAATGCATGTAGGATTGAGATATGAATGCAACAGATTATCAGTACACATATCATATTAGAGAAAGGGCAGTAGAAAGAGAGGCCAGAAGATCCTGTGTATACCAAATATTTTGATTTTTTGTACAATCATGCGTGATTTATTGTATGCAAGTAACGTTTAAAGCAAATGGGCTTTTCGTAAGTGTACGCCAAGACGCAAATTGTTAGTTACACATCCTGTCGCGAAATCGCCGTCGAAAGGAAAAATATCCCTTTTTTTATTAAAGCCCTCCAAAAGCACGAAGTCGACAGAGGTAATCCTGGCCCTCTGTACTCTTTCATTGACATAGTATTACTTCTGTCATTTAAACCTTGAACAAAATAAGTGGCGATAAGAAGACTTACATTGGATGTGATTAACTTCAACAAGGTATTATTAACCACTTGTTACACTGTTATGCGGTGTGTGTTAACCATGCACTTTTGCCCTCCAAACCGCTTTAACAAAACTTCTAACACGCACAAAATGATGGAGGCGGGAGAATGAAAGAGATATCATAGTTTGCCATTTTATGGTCATTGATAGATTCGAGTAGATCACCGTAATATTGTCGGCATTACCACTGCACTACCTAAAAGTATACTAACACTTGTAATTCTTTGTTTATGTGACTACCTGACGTTTGGCGGTCACTTGAAGATTGGTCTGGCACTTATACTCGTTGGCTGGCCTTGGGGCCATGCGCAGGCGCATTTCCTATAGGAAGTCTCGGGGAGCTACACTGATGGTAGCGGAAAGCGAACTGGAAATTTTCTCAGAGACCTCCATCCTAGCACGTACCATTTGTTGCATGTAACTGCAGTGTAGAAGAGATGCATTTGCATCGGTGGTGGAGACGAAAGGATCGAGACCGACGTCCGCATTTGGCTTAGCCTTATCCCTGTGCTCTACAGACAGGCCGTGAACCATATGGAAATTTTCGTGTCGGAATTTCCCCTACAAAATCCCTGACACTATGATTCTCCGTATGTACGGGACAGGGACTCACCCCGTTTTTCCTGTAGTGTATGTTTTAGACCAGACTTCCACCGCCTAGTCCTGGAAGCAGTTGATGGTCAACAGCTGTATGCAGCCCCGAATCTGGTTGTCAGCCCGAACGTAACTCCAGATCCAGTTGAAGCTGTCGCGGCGACCATGTACGGTTCCTCAGTCTCGTGTTGTCTGTCGACTGGCGCGGTTGGCTCGTGGGTGCTTTCATGTGATACCGAATATGTCATGATGGCTGGTGCGAGAGGTGTACCAAGGGAGAGCGCTGAGAACGCTGCTCAACAGAAGAAAGGAGCAATGTAATACTTTGTTTATGTGACCTCGTGGCCTTTGTTGGACAATTTAGGATTTGCCAGGCCCTTGTACACGTGTGCTGACCTTTGGGCCATGCTCAGGTCCAGCCTCACTTGCTGCTTCCCCTCACCCTGTGGGAATTTTGGGATGCTACAGTCCTATCTTCTTTTATGGCAAATCCTCATGCGCTTCAGTCTAAGACAGAAAACAAGATGAAATATGTTCGTAAAATCAATTCCGACCGATGTCACTGCGCATTCGTACTCATTAACAGTTCACATAGTCTACAGAATTGAGAGATGAGGCTTACTCAATGTCAATTATGGGAATCAATTCACCATAATTAGAAAATAAGCACGCCAAAAACCTGCCGTATCGGGCTATGCTGCACTTTAATTCCGTATAAATTTGCAAGATCACCATGGTTTTTCGATGCACCTAAAATTTTCCTGGATTTTTCGGGGTATGAACACAAAATTTGCCAGAAATTGTTAGGATTTGGTCAACTTGGTTTGTCTCGTATCATTCAAAAATACACGAACAATAATAACCTGTTGCAATGTTCATCAAAAAAAATATTCGAAAACCTTGATACAGATGCCTATAGATATAGGCAAAGCTTTTTAACCATCGCACACCAGCATCATACTTGAAGCATATTTCTGTTTGTTTATCCACATGATAAGATCGGCTCGATATTCAATTGGATATGGATGCTCAGGTGAGTGCTCGAAATGGTCTTGGTGCATGTTTGAATTTGTTGCAGTCTAATTCAGCTTTCACTATTATACATTGTAGTTTAGGTGTTTTAGTGCAGTTGTGGTCCTGCCTTACTGCGTCTTCTGTGTAGTAATTTGTCTTCACTCATGGATAATGGCACGATGAAATTTATGTTTCCATGATACTGGTTTTTTTTATCAAATTGATGTTTTGTTTTGGTCGGTATTTGTTTGTGAAAGTGAACTGCGTCAATATTTGGGGATCCTGCATCTCATAAGTGTTGATTCTAAGTGTCCTGTCCACACTTCGCATTTCCATGTTTTTTGAGATCTTTAGTTAGATTTAGGCATCGTGTTTCAGAATATCTCAATCAGTGCCGCATTACTTAGGTTCTAAACATGTGGCTTTTGATCCCACTAACCAGGTGGCACAATGTTGCTAATGTCTTCTTCAAACAGAGAGGGAAAAACAGGACCAGTTATAAAACTGATTCATTAAAAGTAACTGGAGTATCCTTGATGGGTCTATTGTGAATATTTACTCGTTTTCTACCGAGAATCGCCCTCAACGTGTTATTTTTAGATTTTATTCGTCTTCAAAGTTGGTCACAGTGTGCATCGGAAACGCAATTCAACTCGGGAAAAGACACACCATTGGCGCTGCACGGTAGAAAGTTGGAGCGATCAATATCCGCTTTCTGAGTTTGTAAACAACGTCGTATTCCAGCTTCACGAAACTTTCAAAAATCCAAGGCAGAGTATGTCATGGTTTTCTTATTACTTTATGCATCAACTTGACCTGTAGACTATGTAATTTCTAGTCAATAACACGCAAAACTTAGCAAATGGTTTTTATGCACTTGCTCTATAACACTTGGTTTTTAGTCGTGCACAAGGAGCCCTTTACTATTGAAGAAGATGGATTTGGCAGCTTTCGACTGTTTGCAAGGGTGTCATTTCTGAACGTATTTACAGATCTGCACTATGACATCACTCTTTTCGACAACCGTGAACTTCATGCTTTCCGGACAGTGCGTCTCGATCCCAAAAACAGCGAGGAATGGATTCGCTATTCTCAATATGGTGGTGTAGGTTCAACTTCGCTGCATACTCTCAGGAACATTCAAAACCATTATCTTTCAGACTCCTTTGTTTCGTTTCAAATAGATTCCGATTCCCAGATCTGCTTCTTCTTTGGAGATTCAGCAGCGAGTTGTGGAACCTATCCAGATGTCGGGTTCAAAGTGTAACTACAATGTCTCTTACTTCTATCCTGAAATAGCTATGGTAATCAACAACTTTAAATTGTACAAACTTCCTCTACTACGCGCCAAATTTGTTTTTGAAGAGGAGCTTCAGCCTTTATGAGTGCTAGTAACCCGACATAGAATTTCTTTGATAATTTGTACTCTATACTCCCCATTGGCTTCTCCACCTACGTAATCCATTTAGTTTAATTTGCCTTGCCTCAAGTACGTAGTATAACCCTATGATTCAACTAATGTTTTGTTTAACGCATTCGCATCATGCAGGCAATGAAGTCAAGTAGTTCGTACAATCATACGAGTCTTATTCAGATATGTGACTCTTAAATCATTACCCTAATTCTAGTAAATGACGCTTTAAAGTTGGGCTCTATTTGTCATTACCTCTTTTTTTTAGTCCGTTTTAAATTCAGCGACTCGAACTTCTGGGCTAAAATACTCCTCACCCAGTTCGCTGCGAAATCGGCCGAGTCGTGAGTCGCGAACTCAAGCCCTGGCAAATCTTGGCCTTCCTGTCGCCTCCGCATCTCCTACAGCGTCAAACCCGCCTTCGTTGCCTTCTATGGGTGTTCCAGGCTCCCATCCTCCCGGCCATCTCCCTTCTTCCTTTAAGCACAAAAAGAAACTCCAATTGAAGCACGAAGCACAGTTACGTTTGGAGAATCAGCATCATAGAGACCCTGAAAGTCCTCCTCTGGCTCCGGCATCGTCCTCGGTGCCACAACCACCGTTGGTGCCTTCTGTTAACTCCTCCTTCACGTCTCAGCCTGTACAGAAGGAACGTATTGTTCTCCGGCTTTTTCGTTCTGATCTTCAAGGGAGTGTGGAGAAAGAGAAGCAAAAAAAGAGTGGGGGTAAACACAAGCACCGCCATCGGCATCACCACCAAGTCGAATTTGATCAGCGACAGCAACCCCGACCAGAAGTGTGGTCGTCAACCGGCGGTACAAATCTGCACACTGTAGGCGCATTTTGCTCTGTGCGCTTCACTTCTCATCCTTGTTGTGCATTAGTGGGTCTTTGTTTCAGACACCTCCACAACTCCAACACGCTTCGTTGACATCGCTTGAGGTTGGAGGGGAAAAAGATCGACTTCATCAATCGTCTTCTCCCGAACCCGAGGCGGAAAGCACTTCTCGCTCCTTGTTACCGCCTGGTGAGGTTGCAGTGTCAAAGGTTCCGTCCGTCACTGAGCACCACTTAAAGTCTGTGGGTTCATTTCCAGTTTTCTCGTATCCGAAAAGCAATTCTATGTGGGTCTGATCTGTGACTTACATGAAGTATTTATAGGTGGCAATAAGCATGTCTATGCATTGATATTGTCCCAAGATTTTAAGAACTTGTTGCTGTTGTGTCAAGTTTTGAGGGATTAGGATTGCTGGTTACGTAACTATTGTTGGAGCTCGAGACCAGCTGGTTCATATGGTTGTTGATGGTCACACAAAGCGATCTATTGGATGATACAGATCATCATATCCCTCGTTCTTCCTTAAGGCTGATCCACCTGAATCGATAAATGCCATTAATTTTCCGCACATGGACACAGAACATGCTACGATGGTTTGGATTTCCAAGCTCAATGGTGGACCCCAACCCCTTGTTTCGCCCCTACCTCCACAGACCAGCCCACACCTTCCCCAACCATCACCACCATTACAATCACTATCATCAGAGCAGCAACAGCAGCAACAAAAATTCCTGACTGATAAGGCAGAGAAAACGTCAAAAGGGGAAAGGAATAAGGAAAATAAGCATTGTCATCGAAATCAGGAGCAAAGGACCTCAAAACAAGACTCTTCTCCATCTCCGACTCACCCCACCTCTGCAAGACAGGGCGCCTACGACCACGTGTCTTTAAAGGATCTGAGTAAGGCAAATATTCTCTACCTCACCTTGTCTTCGTAACGCTGTGAATACATGAAATATGTCGCCTTTCTTTATTGGTGTTAGTTCTTCTTTTTCTCCACCAGGCATTTCATTGCATCAACCAACGATGCACTCATGAATCATAAGCGTGTCATAAGGAGAACTTTCCAGGTATATTTGTTTCAGAACGCAGGCCTGACTACACGGATACTGACGGCAGAAGTAATAGAAAAGTTCCTAGGGAAACGAAACATGGACGCAGAGAGGGTATAAAGTCATATATCCCTCAGGTATCAGACCACCTCTCACCTGCACGCTCCACTGTCTCCTCGGATTCCACTCCACCGATGTCCGGGGAAGCACCTGTTCCAAATCACTCTGCTATTGCTACCCATGCCTCCTGCGGCACAACTACAGGTGTAGGTGACGAGGCCTATCTGGACAATGTGGAGTTGGAGCGGTTGTACGATCGCATCCTCTGTCTGGAGAACGAATGCATGGCTCTCCGGATGGCCGAGGTGCTGCGGCGCTACTTCAGGCCTGATGAAGACTCTGGAGTTGATATACTCGCGCCATCTGACGAGCTGCCCGACTATCCCCAAATCATCGCCTTCGACATGCGCAAAATGCCTCTGGCATGTATTATAGAGATGGCAGAGGTAATTTCAGCCGATGAGAGAATGTCGGCTCAGCGCCGTGCTGAAGCTGCTACTCATGGTAGTAGTGTTGGGGATGGCGATGATGTAAACAATGGGATGTCATGACTGAGTTTCGAATGGCTATGACTTATTAATTACCTTTCATGTAAATAAGGGTAGAATTTTCTAGTTTTGTATGGCCAATTATGATGAATTCTGTTTTATTCAAATACACGGTTCCTCTATCAAACGTATGACTTGTGTCTGGCCCAATTTAAGCCGTACTCTGAATCACCGTTCAAAAAGAAAGAAAATTCACTTCCGGTCGGGGAGTCTTAATTTCAAAAATAAATCCAAAGGGATATTTTAAAAACACTAAACTCTAGGACGGATTAGGAAGTACTTCCTGTTTTTCGTCTCTAAACCTGTTCGCCTCTTCGGAGACTACAATTAACGAGTCTAGGTTCATCCTAGAAAGTATGGCTGTGGTGCTGTGTTCCGTGATCGAGAAATTTTGGCGTTTGCTGTCGTCAAAGGGACCTACCGGCATAATGAGGAAGTTTTACACTGGAATCATATACGCATTTGGTGTTACTATGCTGCTGGCATTATCCCTGGCCTGGCTGCAGTTAGTTGCCGATCGAGGTCATCGCAGCCAAATTTGCTCACCTTCATTAAGCCAATGGTGGCATTTGTGGTCGTAGTCGTGTTTACCGTAGGCGCGTCTACAATCAAATTAGTTGAAATAACTTGGGTAGATTTTAAAAGGTTGTTTCGCCACTACTATCTTATACACCTCGGCCGCGTTAATGCATAACCCACGTTTATTTGTTTAACAAACTTCGGACACAAGAGGCATGATATGATGCTTGGAGGTTACGGGTGAGGCAATCTTTGAACTAATGGCTTCACGCACTTCCGTTGCAGCACCTCTTCCACCAATCTGCAAAAGATTAAAGGATGTGCATATTTTACTTCATATTTGCACACTACATATATTGTTGGCATCAAGTCAGCTTTATTTCTGGATTTGTGCATTAAAAGTCAAGTGTTCATGGAACGCTGTCAGTTGCATACCTAGTATCATTAGACAGCGAGCAATCAGTGTTGTTGGGGGAGTGTGGTTTCGTTTGTTGACAATTTTAAACCCACCATTTTCATGCAAAGCATATTATCTCAAGTTGACTTAACGGTTGATGATGATTCACTTGTTCGCCTGTTTTGAACAACTCAATGCTGCACAAAAATGACAGTTTCTACTAGAGTAAGTATGAATTCTGACGTTTTGATAGAAGTTAGTCACAAATTGAAGCTTTAAGTATTTGTCAGATACGTACACAATCACTCCACCTATGTCAAGCCTCTAAACTTTATTTAGTTATTGGGAAGAAATGACCTACTCTAGCTTTCGAGCACACATAGATCGAGCAGCTTTAAGATCCGTCAAAATAGCATCACGATGCAGGTGTTCTTTGTAGATGGGACAATCCTTGTAGACTGGAGGATGGGAAGGAGATTGATCTAAACATACAAAAGTTATCTCTAGTCAGGCAAGAGCTTCGTTTTACTAAACCCTCGATCGTACAATTTCATTACCATTCAGCTGTGGAAAATAGTACGCTCTAAGAAAATAATGTTAACGCGAGTGGAGAACAAATTGCAATTCAATGTTTTGCAGAAATGCATGTTAATGAAGAGCCTTCTGGAGTGAGATCGAACATCAATTGAACAACTACCCTTATCGCTCACGTGCTGATGCAAGTGGATCGTTCTTGAGCACAATGTCACCTACTTCTGGTATTGCTGATAGAGTACTCGGGCGATGGTGGAAGGGAGGAGACCAGCGTGAACGAGGAATGTGGCGTTGACGTGGGCATTGGCAAGGTCATCAGACTCCTCTCCCACCTCTCTGTCGCAGCACTGCCATGGCTCTCGGATATGGGTAGGCAATCCACCTCTGAGGAAATCCATGGATCATATGGCTGCAATATGTCATTAATTAACTCATTCAGGCTCTCTCAAATCAGCATGTGAATCGCGCGCCTGATCATTAGTAGCTGCACCGTAGCAGGAAGAAGTCCCAAATCTGGAACCAATCGCATTATCAAAGCAGTTCCATCCTTCAGATTTCGAAAAGTTTAAGGATTAAGACTTTTGAAACCGCTTCTATGAAATGGAGTTTATTCTCCCATATTTTGCCAGTGTTTGAGATTTACTTACAAACGTAAAAAATCCCATCTCTCAGTTCACTCAATCTACTTTCTTATTTGACAGTTAGATCGGCTTTATTTAACTCAACCATTCAGATTCCTTAAAAATAACGATTTTTATCAAATAATTGGTGAAATATTCCCAAAAGTTATGCCATCACAACCAATCGAAATGATAGAAGTGGCAAAAATTAGGCATTGAAGGTAGACACTCACAAAAATTTTCATCAAAACAATCTGATAGTTAGGCATAGAGTAAGAAGTCTTTTTTGTCACCTTTAAGAAATGAAGATGTTGAACAGTTAACTATTAAGCGTACTTTCCCGAAGACCCTATTCATTTTACTTTAGCTTGAATGGAAGGTTGTTACCTTAAACAGATGGAAAATTTATTTAAGACACAAATATGCTTACTCTCGGAGAAGCGAGCTTCGAAGATGCTGTTAGTGAAGAAAGGAAGGGAATATTGCATTGCACCGCAATGCAACGGCCAATACAATGCTTATATGGAGGAGTAGTCTGGGAACCGCGCGAGCTTTGTAATCTTGGAGTATGGGATTGAACACCCACCGAGCGCTTTGGAAGCTTGGTTACAAGATTTTTTGACAGAGAAGCTTGGGCAGGACTTGGAACAGGAATAGATTTTTATCAGATTGCAATTGTGTTCAAGCGCTACCAGTCTCGGTTTCGAGTAAGCACATGTTTGTTTAAGGTTGTGTAATTTTACACCTGATGGACACACGATTGAGAAGTTTTCACGACGTGTTAATGGCGGGTGAATTATTTATGGTATGGCCATCCTGATCTTATACCACTATGCAACTCATGTAAAAGATTTTATTAAAAGAGACTAAAGTGAAAACCAATTGCTGACTTTCCTTGATTTAGCTGCATTGTGTATGATTACGGTTAAAAGAAAGCTCAGTTGCGCGTTATTTTGTATAACCTTCGTTTTCCTCAAAAGTGTTACCCTGACAGTTTGTTTGATACCAGAGGACAGCATTGTATTTCTGCTTCCCTCAAGCTGATTTTTTGGGGGGTTATCTGGTTGGGTTGGCCCAGGGCATAACAATTTTGCTGAAGAACTGCACTTTGAATGGCTTTTGTGGGTGTGGCCGTCAGCTACAACAATTTCAAAAACCAAACTAACCTTCTACTCAAACTCATTCAACAGCAATTTTTGTTCAACGCCACTTGATGCAAAACAAATATGGTATTTTAACGTACTCGCGACGTTAAGTCAAATTGAGAGCATAATGATTTGAGCTTTTGCTTGGAACGTAGCATTTGTTGACTGGGGTAAGTAGGAACAAAACCGCGGTAAGCAGAGGAAGATGACTGTTGACAACGGATGGAGGAACCGCGTTTGCGAGACGGTAGGTAAGCTGAGCCCCACGATTGCAATGGACGAGCAGAGTGGTTAAGATTAGTAAAGAGATGATTTTCTGGTGGTTCATTGGTAGCCATAGAAGTGAGTGAATTTTCTATGTCTTGTCTGCGAGCTCCGAGCGAGGCAGTGTTTTCCACCCTCTGACTCAGTCGCCACTGAGCAAGTATATCTCCGTGCAAGGCGGCCTTCCGTAACTCTATTGTACAGCAATTAAGCAAATCTAATTTTCACTGCTACACTTCTTTTGCAGATCGCATCTCTTAATCTTCGCATTGTCTGAAAAATTGCTTCATCGTGGCTATCTCATCGTATATTTACCTGGTTTACCAAAAAATAAGTTAAGTTATCTCCTTAAACTTTTCACAATTATGTATCAAAGACGAAGCAGTGCAATGAGGAGTCAAATATTACCTTCAGTAGACTCAGTAAATGGCGAAGTTAACGTTTTGTGCCCTGGAACAAGACCATTCCCCTGATGAGCGTCTCCACAACGAATCGTTTCTTCATCACTATTCATGTCAATCAGAATAGAGTGTTACTATTTAGAGGATTAAGTAAACACCTGGGCAAAACGGTGTAACGCAGCAGTCAAAAGACGTTATATAAAAATAAATCGGTGCCGTAATGCGCGAAAATAGTCAAAGACGCAAACCTACATACAATTTTTTAAGACAAACTCCTCTTTCATCTTCCCTTTGGTCTCACTTATGTTAGCAAAGAAGGAGGTCAGTACCGCGGTGAGAGTCTCATTATCTGCAAGTGCTTCCAAGAGATTGTCATCAGGATCAAGAACAGAAGAATCCGAAGAGTTCTCAAGGGACTCTTTGGACAAGGTTTCAGCCTCTAATTCTCCCAAAAAACTTTTGGTGATGTTAGTCTTTTGTAAGGATGGTGGAAGAGGAGGCCGATTGAGCATTGAGACCTGAGGTATATCTTAATGAGAGGCAAATTGCTGAAAACAAATAATTTGCATACCAATTGCGGCAAGTTCTTTGGAGTGAGGCTCTTCCATGGAATGAGTTGAATCATCTTGAGTATCCATACTTTATATCAGAAATAGAAGAAAATCAAATGTGTGGGTAAAAAAGTGAATGCAATAATATGATTTAAAAACAGTAACTAATGCGCGAAAATCTAAATTTATTGGTGTATGTACAACTATCTAGAGGCATGGTGCGAATTATATATCACAGGGAAGAGTTCCACAATAGTATTCAAGCTAATTTACAAATGAGTCATATTCTAACCAAAATATGCTGTCCTGCAATCGCAGTCTTGCGTCCTATCTTAGTTGCAAATGGTTTTGCAAGTAGACTTGCATTATTATGGCGCAAGAGTAAAAATTAGTAGCAGAAATATTTTAAAGCATCTACACTATAATGTACTTCTAATAGAGACGACCTAGGATTAGTAGCCTATATGTATGCTTAAAATCTGCTTGTCTGGCAGCAAACGAAAACTTGTGTGATACTTTGAATCGACGCCACTATATTATCAATATGGTATGTTAAATTGGTATGAAAATTTAGCCCTATTAAGCGAAGATGTAACAAAAACCTATGTTGGTGATTTTCGAAAGAAGAAAATTCCTGTAAACAAACAAACACAACTCTCACAATTTTGCTGGTTTTGTGCATAAATTCCCTTTAACAATTACTTATAATTAAATTATTTAATGTTGTTAACCAATTTTATTTTTAACGCATCAGATCATAAGCCAAAAGTTATGGTAATCAATCTGCCAGGAATGTTACTTCAAACGTTCATGCGGTCTTTTTTCTGAGGTTTTACTAATTGCTTCCATCACCCTACGATGTTAGAATACGAATGACTTGTGTTATATATCTATTTGGCTTGCAGGAAAGAATAATTACTTGCCAATTCGGAGAAGGTACAGTGGTCAAACCGAGATCAAGATTCAAATAAGCAATGCACTGCCCGTCACTTTACACATTCTCATTCACATCACGAAGTATCTGCTTCAAATCTGGTTTTTAATTAACGCCACCTTGAAACTTTGGATTGTGTATTTTTGGTTAAGCCCGTGTGCCAAATGCGACTACCCTGTTAACTACCTCCCTTCCGTTCTTTACGTTTGTTCCCGTTCTAGAGATTGGAGACAAAAAGCTATATGCTGACACCTTAACTCTCTGATTCCAGACCATTTGGCCCTCATCTGTTATGTTAGATTGCAACACTAGGATTTGAAGACCCCAAAGCAAATTATTCATTCATCACACATTTGTTAACTTTCGCTTGGTATTTCTGGATTAATCCATGCCATATTTTACAAAATTCACATAATTCTATTATACTCGCCCATAAAACCCTCCTAGTTGTTGCATTTCTTAATCTGACAAATTTATAGGGAGAACATTACAGGGTTTGTTTTGAAAAAATCTCAATTCTTGTAGATTTTTTGAATTTTCTGAGTTTGTCATAATACTTTGTCACTACACTATCTGCAGCTCCAAAATTTATCAAAATTGGTTTTAGACGTATGCAACCACACCACACCGGACGCTGAGACAGAGTGCTCTTTCAGGAAGTGACCCTATACGCGGTAGCGGAAACAGATAGCTGATAACCTAATGCATTGGTCTTACGCATGTTGATTAATGAATGCGGTATCTTTTAGAAAGTAACTTGGGAGCTATCTACACAAATTAACCAGTTCTTTGTGCTTGCAAATGTCTGGATCACAAGAATATCCAATCCTTAAACCAAATTATCCTGTACTTTCCATACTTAATATCACTCTTGTTTTGTCCTTTTACAATACTATTTCATGAATAGGACTTATACGTGTGCTAAAACATGTTTGTACCCCTAGAGAGGGCATTTCATTTGCATGTACATAGCGAGCAAGCAATTACAGTCTTCTTATGTTTATTCTCGTGCCTTTATTCCACATTTAAAAAATCATTTGCTCGTAGTTGACCTTTCAAACGAAGATTTCCTTACTGCCTTTTCAGCCTGCATATTAGGTGTCCGCTAGGTTTTGCTTCATTTTTAGCAAACGTCCCTTGCATTCAAATAATTTTAGTCCGACTTTTGCATCACTGCCCTTAAAAGACATTTAAATGATCGGCCCCAATGTTATCAGACAACCATCAATCATCGTCCGCAGTTATGCGCCTCCTTAAACACCAGATTTGTTTATATATTTATTGCTGTACAATTGGCTAAGCTCTATATATTCTTAACTTACTTAATGGACAATATCAGGAGTCATAATAAGACCTTCTTAAACGGAAGTTTCGTTAAGTACGTGCTGATAATCAAAGTTGTACATTTCCTGTTCTGAAATGCTGAATGGAATATGTAGCGAATCATATGTTGAATTTACAAACTCCTTATTTACTTCTACCAACTGCTCTCCTTCCATAAATGCAATTGTTGATGCGATTTATACTGAGCAGATTTTCCCTGCGTGTCTTCTGTGGCAGAAACCAAAAGATCGGTTAACCACACTTTTGAGCTTTTTTAAAACTCTTTTCCTGATACACACCAAGAAGAGTATTGATGTTGCATTAAGCCAATCAGATTCGACTCGATCTCCCATTGGCCCCTCACCAACGCTGACCAGAACCAGGCATTGGGCACGATATCACTTCCTATAAAACATTTTAATTAGATTTTTACTTTAAGGAGTATTCTTTCTTTCCTCCCAATTAATCAGCCGCAGCACAGTTAGGCCATTCGATCCTTTAGAACCTATCGGTATGTTCAAATTCCTTGATAATGGTTGCAATGGAACTTAGCTAGTTGCACGCACGAGAAATTGGTCCCAGCAACTTAAATTGTGCACCACTTACATGCATATAAGACTTATGAAGCAAGGAAACAGTGTATGCATGTAACTTTCATTTAATATACTGCACAAGGCAACCATGTGTTAGGATACAATAGTAGTTAAACGTTACTCGTGGTTTTTTTTAAGAAAAGCAACTGTTTTCTTTGCTATGAATTTGGTAAGTTTAGAATTTCTTTTGGCCAAGTATCTGCGCATAAGTGACATGCGTTTCTTCCTTCTTTAAGGTCTGTATCAACCCTAATTCAAAGAAGACCTTATAAATTTTATTGCCTTAAAGGCCATTCCTCCCAAATCCTCAACATCTAAATGCTGAAGTAGTAATTACAATGTTTATTGAGGCAGAACGTCTTTCTGGGCATATAATTATGTATTAGTCTGAATCTGAAGTGATTTTGTAAAGTCAGCTCGCATGATGGACAGTCTGCACCCTTTAATTTGCTGTTGAGATAGCCCCGACACAATCGACTGGGAAAGTTTGGACTGCGTTCAATTATGAGCTCGGGGTAAAGATGGTAAAATATGACATCGGCAGTTGATGGATCAGCGGTGTCGGCATCAAAACACAAGATAACAATCCTACTTTAAAACACTTAAATATCTTCCTATTTACGCGATTTCTCTGGACAGGGTAGCGAGATTCCGCTATTGAGATTTGTAGGCTACTGCCATTCTACTCTTTCCTCTTTGGTACTGTCTTCTCGGGCTAAGTCCATTGGACTGCTTCAAAACGCTTTTTTCTCTTTGTTCTAAATACGCAATGGTTTCCTATTTGCATATTATCAAGCAGTTTAATCCGAGATTCGCATCCGCATTAACGTTTTAAGACTGGATTTGTAGGTCTTAGCTGTTTGAAAACGTCGAAAAGGTGAGGAGGGGCAGAGATTTTTCAGTCTGTCAATGCATTTACTATGCGTCTACCTTCCAAGCGTTTTGTTGCCATGCTCTGTGAAGACACTTTTCACTCCGACTCCATTCTCATTCCATTCCATTTTTTTTTGGCTTCAGGCTAACTTCTTAAAGATGAATTATTTTTTAATAAAATTTTAGGCAGCTTATCAGAAGCACCTGATAGTGCATGATTCCCTCAAAGTATCAAGGACTACCTAAAGACATTTTCTTTTTTCTTCCACTTTCACACAGCATCCACTTTTCTGCAAAATTGCCCTTAAACCTGTCAAAATTGATGCACTCTCCATAGAGAAATGCAAATTATCTTTGCTTATCAAAAATTATCCACTTTTCTTGTCCACTTAAAAGGCGTGAAAAAGCTTGTGTTTGCACTATGTGTAGTTCTCTTAGTGCTAAATGCTGGGTCCGCTTTCTGAAGACGTTTCAAGTCTCATAAGGTGGAGAATTAATCAAATAGTCGTAAATGTCAAATGCACATAAAGGCCGCAGCCGTGGTAACAGCATTTTAAACTAAAACATGCTTTTTGATTCCCTGCATGTCTGTTCATTTCTCCAGCAGTGGGTAATTTTTAATGCCTATGAGTTGCGCTATGCCATTTACATTCACAAACAATTGTTAAGCGTCTATCCGCCTCAAAATTCTACAGTGTTAAACATGAAAATGAGTTTAGCTACTTTGTCGCTCTTTTAAAGTACCATTCAAAATTTTCATAGTCGATTCTTGCGACAGTGGATAGTAGTGCCGCAGTCGGAAAACAAATGCGAAATCTGGCGGACAATGAAAATTTGTCGCCTCGGCTTTACCTCATAGAAAGACCTCAAAAGGGTTGTACTAACTGTGATCGTGGGCAGAAAGAGGTTAGAAGTTGAGCAACCGTTATTAAAAAGTCTTGCAAGTGGTTCGTGTTTGAGTAAAATGGAGCAATCAAGTGTTCATTTGAGGTCTATGTTGGCACTTGAGCTGCTAAAATGCTTAAGTTTTCATTACCCTCCTTGGCTCTAATTGTTTTTCGTGACTGTGTGGCTGTAATCAGTGTAGTTGATTACTTGCTGAGTCTCGTCAAGCTTAATCAGGACAGGCTCGTGGTTGCGAAGGCTTGCTATGGATAAACATGTGTCAAATGAGTGAAATGTGTGCAAGAAATTGACTACTTTTGTTCCACAACTCTACAATAATACTTACAGTTTAGGAAGATGAAGAAGATGACTTCACTCATCCCTTTTTTGTGTTGACGAATAAAGTGGTGTAACAGCATCTAAGAAGGTCATTTTACAATGTTTCTTTTTATTAAACTTTAAGTTCTGTAATTGTAAGC